CGACAAAGCAAAAAAACTGAGAACTGACGGACCACTGAGGATTTGGCAGTGCGTTGGCCACTAGGGACTTTCTTCCTCCCGACAAGCGGAAGGCTCACCCACAGCTCACACAACGACTGCCACGACAAAGCTGCAAGACCACAAAGTTGATTTTCCAAAAACTGGAAACTGACGGACCACCAAACTGAAAAATCGGCTGAAACGGTGCTCAAAACGACGGCGAAAACTGAGAAAACTGAAAAACCAAACTCGAAAGCGGAGACTGAAACTGATACCTTCTTCTTCTGCTTGACGAGCTGAACAAACTGATACTTGAACGACGGCGAAACTCGAACTTGAACCAAAACGAAGACGACGATCAGCGTTGAACTGGGCCCATAACCTATAGAAAGGTCAGCGGGGCAGAGGGAAGAAGGATGGTTGAAGGTTGCTGGTGGTTGACGGGAAAAGAAGTTGATGCCATTTTACTCTTGGTCGCCAACTATTGGCGCTACTTATACTCTTCGAACTACATACAATACGAGCCATTAGGGCTGGTCACGTGACTCTCGTTCTTGCACTGGTTGATAATCAAGTGACTCTCCCTGTTGCACTCTCGGTTGATAATCAAGTGACTCTCCTACTTCCACTCTCGGTTGATAATCACATGACTCTCCTTCTTGCACTCTCGGTTGATAATCAAGTGACTCTCCTACTTCCACTCCGTTGATAATCAAATGACTCTCCTTCTTGCACTCTCGGTTGATAATCAAGTGACTCTCCTACTTCCACTCTCCGTTGATAATCAAATGACTCTCCTTCTTGCACTCTCTCTTGCTAATAATTTGGGACCGTTTGAGAGTCAATAATATCTGAATGTACTGTACTGTAGATTACAGATTTTACAATACGATTAATAACCACTGTGGCACATACGTCATACGTGTCACACACGTGTCAAATCGAGAAAAATGAAACATGTTCAGAATGTACTGTAGAGTGCCACGAGGTACATAACTTACACGTGTCAACACCAAAATTGAAACATGCTCGGAAATGATAGGAAAGTGCAACTGTGTACAAATATGACACGTGTCCACCTTGAAGACCAAACATCCTGAGAATGCTCTTGCAAGCATTTTAGGTTTCGTCGACGTACACGTGTAATATCTGTCAGGCTTGGAGCTTAGCATGTGGTCGAAGATTTCCAACAAATGTGGTAAGTGGAGTCAAACTACTTGGTAATGAGGCTGACAAAATCAACAATACTGACAATGATTGCATCTCTGAAAAATGTTCTGCGTGCGTCTACGGAAAAGCCACTCGATCTGTGATCCCAAAAGAGCGGTCCTCGAGGCGGGCATACTTCTGTCTAGACTTAGTTCACTCTGATGTTTGTGGCCCCTTAGAGGTGCAGTCCATTGGTGGTGCCAAGTACTTCATTACCTTCATAGATGATCACTCAAACTGGTCAGTAGTGTACCCTATGCACCATAAATCAGAAGCATTTGAAAGATACAAAATGTTTGCACAACTTGCTCAGACTCACACTGGTCGCAAGATCAAAGTGCTTCGCACCGATCGAGGTGGTGAGTATCTGTCCACGGAGTTTAAGTCTTTTCTGATTGCAAATGGTACTCAGCATCAAATGACGACCGCATACACACCGGAGCAAAATGGCGTCGCCGAACGACTGAACAGAACTTTGGTAAACTTGGTGCGCTCCATGCTAGCACACAAGAAAGTTACAAAGGGGTTCTGGGCAGAAGCACTTGCCAATGCAGTGTACGTTCGAAATCGAGTCACGTCACGTGCCATTCCCCCCAAGATGACCCCATACCACTTATGGATGAAATCTGTGCCAAATGTTGGTCATTTGCGTGTTTTCGGTTCAAAGTGTTGGTATACATTACCAAAACACAACATCCAGAAACTTGACGCCCGTGCAAAGGAGGCAATGTTTCTAGGGTATGCTGAAAATACGAAAGCTTACAAGTTGTGGGATGGTGATTTGCACAAAGTGATCGTATCCAGAGATGTTACTTTTGACGAGTCCACGGGAGGCAAATCTGGTGAACCGATGGATACAAACGAGGAGGCTACAACTGATGATGACACAATCAACTTGAACATCGATGAGGAAGTTGCAGAAAATGATGCAGTGGCATCAGAAGCATCATCGCCGGATGAACAACAAGACTCTGATGAATCCTCCAACTCCTCCCCAACTGCAGGGGAGGACGAAACTACCGAAACAGTTGAGCAACACGTAGTTGAGGAAGAAACGATTGATCCGCCAACTAATCTCCGTCGGTCCTCTCGCGTTCGAAAAACGCCTGGGGCGTGGTGGGCAGCAGCTTTGGTGACTGCTGGACTCCTTAGCCACGCCTATGTGACAACGGAAATCCCAAACTCGTACAAGCAAGCTATGGATTCTCCAAAAGCTCGCTTCTGGCAGAAGGGCATCGACAAAGAACTTGCTTCACAACACAAAAACAAAACATGGACACTTGTTCCAAGATCTCAAGCATCAAACGTCCTGACGTCCAGGTGGGTTTTCGGAGTGAAGCAACTTCCTGACGAGTCCGGAAAATTGGTCGAAACTGCAAAGGGACGTCTTGTGGCACGAGGCTTTCAACAAGTAGAAGGCATCGATTACACTGAAACTTTCGCCCCTGTCATCAAGTTCACAACTATCCGTCTGCTGCTGGCACTGGTTGCGCACTTTGACCTTGAGCTGCATCAGATGGACGTGGTGACTGCCTTCCTCAACGGTGACCTTCACGAAGAAATCTACATGGAGCAACCTGAAGGATGCATCGACAAAGTCAAACCTGATTTGGTGTGTGAACTTCTGAAAGCAATCTATGGTCTTAAGCAAGCCCATCGCCAATGGCATAGTAAGATCGATGAGTTTCTGATCACTGAACTTGGTTTCAACACTACACGCAGCGACCCATGTCTTTACATTCGACGTCAAGGCAATGTCATCATGATTATCGCGTTGTACGTGGACGATCTGCTGCTAGCTGGAAGTAATGGTAGGTTTGGAGGGGCAAGGGAAAGAAGGAGGGCAGGTTGATGTGTGTGAGTGAAGGAGTTGGTGCCGAGGTTTACTTGGAGCCGCCTTTCGGCGATACTTATACACTTTGAGTGTTACACTATCCCATTACTTTGGCACCTGGTAAACCGTACTCACCATATGCGCGACCAAGCGCGGTCCTCTTCTGGCCCGTCCACACTGTTCTATTTCCACCTTACGAATTGACTATTGACTATCAGTGCACAACAGTTTCTACACATTTCGAGTGACTGTAAACCATGGCCCTATGCATGCAATCGTTTCACACCTTACTAATCTGCATCCAGACATGACAGAATATATTCTTGCATAATGAACAACTTGGCATCTCTCTATTTTCAACAACGCAAAGTCCTGTCATATCTCAGTCCCCATACATGCCCTTGTTTCGTACCTTACTAATTTCGGTACACACTGCCAGACAACTATGACGGGTAGCAACAATGTGCATCCAGACTTTCTACACATCTCACGTGATATCCGATGTGAATCACACGAGTACTGTCATCAACTTGCATCCAACGGCGCACCATAACGAGAGCACAGTACAACGTCGCATGCTGACGAGAGTGTAGTACAACGGCGCATGCTGATGCAAGGGTTGCACACAGCGTGACGCGTACACTGAATACTCACGTAAGTACATGTCTCTTGCGAGAAATACTTGTTGTACTTTTAATTCACATGTACTGTGCTCGGACACGCGCCGGACCGTATGTAGGCGACGTGTACAAGTGTACGTACACGCAGCAACCTGGCGATGTGTACATGTGTACACCGCACACAAGTGTCCAGCGCCAAGGCCACACGTAATTACCCATTACAACCATGGTGAACAACTTGAAACCCCCGAAATGATGTAATTAAAACGTATACCGATCATTCAAGATATATCACCAGCATGACTGCCTATAAGTGAACAATAACAGACCAATTGAATTGCAGCATTCGAGCCAACACCCAATAGATTTGCAGTATTGCCTGTGTAGCCCTATAACGGTTCGGGCCAAATGCAAATTTTCGGCATTTATGCAAATTTGCATAACCCTCCAAAAGTCCACTTTCGTCCGCAGAACCCCAAAATCTGAGACTTTACACGTGTCATGTGGTGATATGGGGTGAGGGTCCGGACCGTCGAGTCATGTACACGTGTCGCTCGATTTTGCACTTTCCAGATACCAGCATGTGGTCGCACATTTTCAATAGGCAAAGTGTTGTGCTTACTCGTGGCACGTTTGATTTAGTTCACAGTCGAAAGACCCGCACTGGCCGACAAACAGGGGTAGCGCCCTAAGGCATTTTTAAGAAGAATACGCTTGTTCCACTCCGCCGGGAACAAGCACCAAGAACGTTTCCGAGTAATCGCTACAAACTTCTTATACGGGTGGGCTTGCCGTTGTTTTGACTATCGGTTAACGGCTTAGGATCCCGGAACAAAAGAATTTGTATACTCGGAACGGTACATCCATTCGGCGAAATGGATGACCAAAGCTCTGGATCGGTCAGAATCGAGAAGCTGACCGCATCTAACTTTTACATCTGGAAGCAGAAAATCCAGCTACTGCTTGCTCTCCGAGATGTCGATCAATACGTTTTTGATGATATCCCGGAGAATGCGACGTCAGATGACCGGAGAAAGTGGATTCGTGGTGACGCAAAAGCAAAGGCAGTCATCGGACTCACGCTTTCTGATGACTACTTGCAACATGTGGGAGGGTGTAGCAGTGCGAAAGAGACATGGGAAGCAATTCTGAAAGTGTTTGAGCGTCATACTTTGCTCAACAAACTTGCCGCCCGTCGCGACTTTTACACTGTATCCATGCTCCCATCCGGGAAAGTGCTCCGTCGCGACTTTTACACTGTATCCATGCTCCCATCCGAGAAAGTGCTCCGTCGCGACTTCAATCGTGTGAAGCAACTTGCTTCCAGATTGCAGTCAATGAGTGTTGAGATTGACGATAAAGAAATTGCAATAGCTGTGTTGAATGGCTTGCCTCCACGATTCGATAACCTGATTGTTGCTCTTGACGCACTTGGCAATGAAGATAAAGTGTTTGGACTCGAGTTTGTGAAGAGTCGTCTGCTGCAAGAAGAGCAACGAGAAAGCATGAAGACCGCTTCTGCTTCAACACCACATGCACCTGCACTTGTTAATCGTATGCCTATTCGACGCGATATGAAATGTACGAATTGCAATAGACATGGGCATACTGCAGCGCGTTGCTGGGGCAAGGACGTGAATGGGCGCCGACCTGCGCCGCCAGATGGGTTTCGGTCACGCAACACTGGCTTAAAGCCAAGTGCATTCGTTTCTCGAGATGACAATTCTACTGCTGCCTTTGCGGAGAGTGACTTTACTTGCTTGCTTTCGACTTCCACTCCAGAAAAGAGGGCTGCAAACGCAAGGTCATGGCTTGTCGATTCCGGTTGCAGCGCTCACATTACGTTTGATCGCTCTTTGTTCGTTACGTATGAACAGATGCAATCTGGATCAGTCGAGATGGGCACGAAGGCTAGAGCCAATGTCGCTGGTCGCGGCGAAGTAGAATTCATGTTGAACGTCAACGGTAGTCCACATTCTTGCAAATTGTCAAGCGTTTTGCATGTCCCTGATTTCGGATACTCGCTACTGTCTGTTAGCCAAATGGTTTCGAAGGGCATGCAAGTGTCATTTGAAAATGACAAATGCATCGTTACTGCAGGACCAACTGTAGTTGCCACAGCGAGTCAAGTTGGGGATTTGTACATACTTGACGTCATGAATGAAACCTTTTCTGCTCACGTAGTTACCCTGCAGATGCTACATGAACGCATGGCCCATGTTAATGTACAAGGAATCGCATCAATGATTCACAATAATGTGGTAAGTGGCATCAACGTTCGTCAAAGCGATGTCATCAGTGCAATGAATCCGAAGTCTGGCAATCACCTTCTCATTTGTCCTGCGTGTGTGTTCGGGAAAGCAACGCGATCAGTAATCCCGAAACAGCGATCATCGTCTCGAGCACAGAACTGTCTTGACTTGGTACATTCTGACGTTTGCGGTCCGCTCGAAGTACAGTCCATTGGTGGTTCGAGATACTTCATTACATTTGTAGATGATCACTCGAACTGGGTAGTTGTGTACACGATGAGAAATAAATCTGAGGCGTTTGCAAAATACAAGTTGTATGAAAAGTTGGCTCAAACCCACACTGGTCGCAAAGTAAAGGTGCTTCGCACTGATCGAGGGGGAGAGTACTTGTCGACGGAATTCAAGTCGCATTTAGATTTAAACGGTACGCAGCACCAACTCACAACGGCGTACACCCCTGAACAAAACGGTGTTGCTGAACGTATAAATCGAACTTTGATTGATCTTGTCCGCTCTATGCTTTCTCATAAACAGGTCAGTAAGCGATTCTGGGCCGAGGCTCTTGCCACTTCGGTATATATTCGCAATCGAGTTACTACACCGGCTTTGCCAGTTAACACCACTCCCCATCACATTTGGATGAATTCTACTCCAAATGTTGGCCATTGGCGAGTATTGGGGTCAAAGTGTTGGTATACATTACCAAAATCAGAGCTCCGTAAGCTAGACTTGCGAGCTCGTGAAGCGATTTTTCTTGGGTACTCGCAATGCAGTAAGGCATACAAACTTTGGGACGGAGAGTTGAATAAAATTGTTGTGTCACGGGGTGTCAAATTTGATGAATCGACATGTGGTATGCATGACATTCCTGCACACGAAAGTGATTCAATCAACTCTAATGTTGACGTTGTATTGCTCGATGGCGACAATGGGTATACAGCTGATACCCCAAATACGGATGAGGTTGGTTCTTGTGGTATAACCCCAAATGGAAATTAGATTAGGATCGGAGCAGGGACAGTAAGGCAACGAGCCTTACAGCCATGCGCGCACACACGAGTCCTCCGCGTGTACGGGACGCGTACAACACGTGGACTGTCATCCCCGCCGGCTGACAGCGTTACAGTGTCGGTAGACCGGCACTACTGTAGAGTTATGATAGACTACAATGTACATTAAATATGAGCGGACTGCCAGCGGTGGAGGACGACAAGCAGGGACTTGTCAAGGATCCTCCACCTTGGTCCGCCCGCTTACTTTTAGGTACTTCCGTCCGTTTTACCTAGGAGTCGCACCGCGCACGGGTTGAGGACGCGCGTAGCACGCCCACGAGCCGGCTCCACCTCCGCCCGTCGGTACTGGATCGTCACCCAGTACCGCTCCGGGGCGTCGAGGCGTAGAACCGCTCGCGCGTGCGCGCGTCCTCCCCGATCCCGCTCTACCACCGCTACCTCGAGCCCGTGCTCGGTACCGTGGGTGGGCCGTGCTTCTGTCTTCCCGCAGATCGGGGTCTTTCCGAACTGTCAGTACTCACCCCCCTCGTCGTTGGGGGTGATTATACTACAGTGGTGTCCCGACCTAGAAGACTCTCAAGATCGAACCGAGAAGACTATCGTTTACCTCCGCGTCCTTACGCGTCGAGATGAGTGGCGACTATCCCACCTCGATTCGCTCGGAGCCCGCCGATGTGCGAGAGGCCGCGCTCCGGGTCCGAGTCGGCGACGGCGACGCTGGTCCTCGAGACCGCGAACCGTCGCCCGACTTCTCCGAAGGACGCGCTCGCGCGATGTACGATCGCATCGCGGAGTATATCGAAGATGTCCGAACATCCCTCCGTATCGACGTCTCCGACAGCGTCTACGCCCGCTGTATGGATGAGTTGCGCTCCCTCCGCGAAGGAAGGTTTGAGCGCGTAACTCAGTCCTTGGAGAACCTGCGCGCCCTCGTCAACCAGCTACAGTCCCGTTTGGTACTGGTCGAAGAGGCGCGCATCGATTCCCCCGCCGTGGACGTTGCCGGTCGACCCGCGAGTGCAAACTCCGGGGTCCGACGCGACCCGCAACCCTTCCCATCAGCCGAACAGATGGGAGCGTTTGCGCACATGGCGGCGGAGCTCAACTCAACGCGCCGCCGTGCCCGTGAGATGGAACAGACCTCGGCCGAGAGGCCGCCCGGAGCCCCCTCGAGTGGGCCCGGTGCCACTGTTCCTCCGGGCGCATCCGGAGCGCAGGAGTGGCCCCCGACTGGAGCCGTCACCAGTCGGAGGGCGGAGGACATCAAGCCGACGGCGGACGCAAACTTCGCGTCCGAGACTCAAGCCCTGCCGTATGCATCCGGAAGCATGCGGCAGTCCCGACGGGTACCGGACGAACCGGACCGTGGCCGTGGAGGAGTCGCCCGCGGATCAGGGGAACCGATTCTCCCCTTCGATCTTCGCTGGGGCGGCTACCAGCCAGCGGATCTTACCGCGCATCCCGGCCCCGTCGACGTCCGAACGTTGCCCGTCACGCCGTTCGGAACGTTGGGCCCCGCCGAACCCGGGCTCGAGCCCGTCCACACCATGATACAGGAGTTCAGCGCCGTCGCGAACTACCGCATGTATCGGTTGGACAACACCTCGAGGCTCGTTACCTCGGGTGACGCGGGACGGATCGCGAAGTACGTCCAACGCTGCCGTGGGCTCTGTCCCACGATGAAGAGCTTCGACGGTACTGACGCGATTCAGTTGCTCCCGTTTCTGAAGGATATCCGGATAACCTTCAATGCCCAGCACCTGACCGAAGGTGTGGCAATCCGTGTCTTCGCTCACTTCCTCGAGCGGGACGTGGAGCAGTTGTATACGAGTTACACCATGCGCGGCCTCCGCGCCGGCCAGCTCCACGACGACACGAGCTGGCCTGGTCTCGTCAACCAATTTATCAAACGCTACCTAACCGACGACGTGTTGGGGGAAGCGTTTGATGCTGTCGCGTCGGCGCGACAGCTTCCTCACGAAACCGAGAACACGTTCGCAGACCGGCTGGAATCCGCCGCGTTCCGATACACGGCCGTGTTCTCAGAACAAGCTCTCGCGCACTACTTCGTGCGCAGGCTGTCCACTGCAGCCCGGGCCGCAGTGGCAGAGACGATGCAAAGGTTGCCCGGACAACAGAAGACCGAACTCTCAACGATTCGCCGTATCGCAACGGCCGAGGGTACAACCTACCGCGCTCTTCGCGGGTTGCCGCCGCCGGACCCGAAGCCGGCAGCGAAGGGAGTCCGAACTCTAAGGTCGCACGGAACGAGCTCGGCGGCGACCGCCCTCCACATTGGAGAAGATGAGTGGCAGGCCTGTTGGAAATCTTCGACCACATGCTAAGCTCCAAGCCTGACAGATATTACACGTGTACGTCGACGAAACCTAAAATGCTTGCAAGAGCATTTTCAGGATGTTTGGTCTTCAAGGTGGACACGTGTCATATTTGTACACGGTTGCACTTTCCTATCATTTCCGAGCATGTTTCAATTTTGGTGCTCACACGTGTAAGTTATGTACCTCGTGGCACTCTACAGTACATTCTGAACATGTTTCATTTTTCTCGATTTGACACGTGTGTGACACGTATGACGTATGTGCCACAGTGGTTATTAATCGTAGTGTAAAATCTGTAATCTACAGTACAGTACATTCAGATATTATTGACTCTCAAACGGTCCCAAATTATTAGCAAGAGAGTGCAAGAAGGAGAGTCATTTGATTATCAACGGAGAGTGGAAGTAGGAGAGTCACTTGATTATCAACCGAGAGTGCAAGAAGGAGAGTCACTTGATTATCAACCGAGAGTGGAAGTAGGAGAGTCACTTGATTATCAACCGAGAGTGCAAGAAGGAGAGTCACTTGATTATCAACCAGTGCAAGAAGGAGAGTCACGTGACCAGCCCTAATGGCTCGTATTGTATGTAGTTCGAAGAGTATAAGTAGCGCCAATAGTTGGCGACCAAGAGTAAAATGGCATCAACTTCTTTTCCCTTCAACCACCAGCAACCTTCAACCATCCTTCTTCCCTCTGCCCCGCTGACCTTTCTATAGGTTATGGGCCCAGTTCAACGCTGATCGTGGTCTTCGTTTTGGTTCAAGTTCGAGTTTCGCCGTCGTTCAAGTATCAGTTTGTTCAGCTCGTCAAGCAGAAGAAGAAGGTATCAGTTTCAGTCTCCGCTTTCGAGTTTGGTTTTTCAGTTTTCTCAGTTATCGCCGTTGTTTTCAGCACCGTTTCAGCCGATTTTTCAGTTTGGTGGTCCGTCAGTTCCCAGTTTTTGGAAATCAACTTTGTGGTCTTGCAGCTTTGTCGTGGCAGTCGTTGTGTGAGCTGTGAGTGAGCCTTCCGCTTGTCGGGAGGAAGAAAGTCCCTAGTGGCCAACGCACTGCCAAATCCTCAGTGGTCCGTCAGTTCTCAGTTTTTTGCTTTGTCGTGGCAGTCGTTGTGTGAGCTGTGGGTGAGCCTTCCGCTAGTCGGGAGGAAGAAAGTCCCTAGTGGCCAACGCACTGCCAAATCCTCAGTGGAACATACCCTCGCTCTTGGTGAAAGGCTGGTGCCATTGGAAATCTGACTTGAGCGAGGGTCCGACCAAGAATCGTCGAGAGACGAATTACTGATCCTCGGGGAGGATCACAGTGTACTGGTCTAGTCGATCCGCACTCTACCTTCGGGAGGTGCGTCGGCGGTGTGGGTAACGCTCTCGGTATTAGCCCTATAGGTACGACTTCGGTCCCCTGGGTGAAGAGAATACGTGCCTAAACACTGAACCTCTCACTATACGTGTATAAGGTCGCGTACCTTGATTAAGTTCGCACGGAAGAGGGTGACCCAAGGAGTGATTGTGAACAAATCACACGAGTACGACGAAGGCAGTTTCATTCTTGTGTTGTGGGAGACCCTCTGAGGCAGTACCGTATCAAGTTTGGACAAGCCGATTTAGGTTGCAGGGACCGTTCGCGGTAGTAACCAAAAGTCCTGGTTCGTCTACAGGCAAAGTTGTTGTGCTTACTCGTGGCACGTTTGATTTAGTTCACAGTCGAAAGACCCGCACTGGCCGACATACAGGGGTAGCGCCCTAAGGCATTTCTAAGAAGAATACGCTTGTTCCACTCCGCCGGGAACAAGCACCAAGAACGTTTCCGAGTAATCGCTACAAACTTCCTATACGGGTGGGCTTGCCATTGTGTTGACTATCGGTTAACGGCTTGGGATCCCGGGACGGAAGACCTTGTATACTCGAAGGGTACATCCATTCGGCGAAATGGATGACCAAAGCTCTGGATCGGTCAGAATCGAGAAGCTGACCGCATCTAACTTTTACATCTGGAAGCAGAAAATCGAGCTACTGCTTGCTCTCCGAGATGTCGATCAATACGTTTTTGATGATATTTCGGAAAATGCGACCTCAGATGATCGCAGGAAGTGGATTCGTGGTGATGCGAAAGCAAAGGCAGTCATCGGACTCACGCTTTCTGATGACTACTTGCAACATGTGCGAGGGTGTAGCAGTGCGAAAGAGACATGGGAGGCGATTCTGAATGTGTTTGAGCGTCACACTTTGCTCAACAAACTTTCCGCCCGTCGCGACTTTTACACTGTTTCCATGCTCCCATCCGAGAAAGTGCTCGTGTTCATCAATCGTGTGAAGCAACTTGCTGCCAGATTGCAGTCAATGAGTGTTGAGATTGACGATAAAGAAATTGCAATGGCTGTGTTGAATGGCTTGCCTCCACGATTCGATAACTTGATTGTTGCTCTTGACGCACTTGGCAATGAGGATAAAGTGTTTGGACTCGATTTTGTGAAGAGTCGTCTGCTGCAAGAAGAACAACGAGAAAGCATGAAGACCGCTTCTGCTTCATCACCACATGCACCTGCACTTGTCAATCGTATGCCTATTCGACGTGATATGAGATGTACGAACTGTAATCGACATGGACACACCGCAGCACGTTGCTGGGGCAAGGATGTGAATGGGCGCCG